TATTGCTGAAAGGTGACGGCAGCGAGAGCGGGGTTGGGCTCTTCACTGATGACAGGTGACAGGATGAGGGGAAATGGCTTTTAGCTGTGCCAGGGTAAGTTTAGGTTGGATATCAGGAAACAGTTATTTACAGAAAGGGTTGTTAACCACTGGAATAGGCTCCCCAGGGAGGTGGTTGAGTCACCATCCCTGGATGTGTTTAAAAACCATTTGGATGTGGTGCTCAGAGACATGATTTAGTGGTGGGTTGATGGAGTTAGGGTGGTATGGTTAGGTTGTGGTTGGACTCGGTGATCTTTAACGTCTCCTCCAACCTGAGCAATTCTATGATTCTTTAGTAAATAAGCGTACTTTGAGGATTTGAACAGTCTAATTTTCTTCTGCAGAAGAATTAGGTAAGAGGCAGGAGAGAAATTAGGAATAAACCCTAATAGCTAATAATGTAGAAGCATACATTCAAAACTGCAAAAGAAACAAAATACTAGTTAGTTCAGACAGACTCTCTTTGCACCTTTTTAATAGTACAGGTTATGAAGAATTCAGTAATCTAGTTAGATCAGTAATCTAGAACAGAAAAGCAAAGGAATTCGAATATAACTCCTCCTTTCCTAAATAATAATAACCAAATAATATGATAAAAAAAAATCATAGAGCAAAAGTTCAGGTAGTTCCTATCTGAAACTTGCTGTCATTTATTTGATTTCACCTAGAACCAGCGCTGCTTGTCCCAACAATCTGGCAATAATTGGGCTCATTATAACTCAAGTCACTAAGATAAGTATTAAATGTTTGCTTCTTTCAACAGACTAAGTGCAAGTTATTTAAACCTAAAAGCACACCTTTTTCTCTTCCAACTCTGCTTTTAAGGAACCCAACTCTTTCTGATCCTTTTCCAAAGGCAGGATTTTCTGTAGCATCTGTTCCACTTGACAGCGTAGAGCAGAGATCTCCCTGCAACAGGCAATGTAATTTAAATTATAAAAGATTTCAAAAACACACAGGTACTTTTAAAACTAGTCGATCAGATCAAGCTTACCTTTCAGCAAATTGAAGCTGTAATCTCTCGTTAAGGTAGACATTTAAGATAACTTATTCTACTTCCTGAAGTATATTTCAGTCCAATCACCACTTGCAGAAAAAATCTAATGACTTCCAACCAACAAGCAAACACTTCATTTTGCAAGTTTAACTGAGACATTTCAATGTGTTTGAAGTGAATAAGCAGAGCTTTTCTTTGACAAAAAAATTCTCAGCAATGCAGATTTGAAGTAGTTCCTGTTAAAGTGTATATTAGACACACAGATGTTTAGTTTTGAAGCCCTGTTTAAGTCCAACCAGTCCATTCTTTACTACAGAACGGCACGCTCCCTTAACTAAAGCCTTAAATAAAAAGCCTCAGGCCCTCATGAGGAACGCTGATGTACCACTTCTGTGACAGCACTAATAGAAACACAAAGGATATCAGTGCATTTCTGTTGATACTCCGTCAGCAAACGGCTGCAAGAGAAAGATAAAAACATTACTCACAAACGCCAATTACACTACTCATTTTCTAAACAGATTTTAACCAATACATCCTAAGATGCTTTTCCTTTTGCTTTATAGATAAATGCAGAAAACAGGTGATTAGTTCCCATTTTCTGATAGAAGTCAATACTTCTCTTTTGTTTCATTAAGCCATTCAAATCTCAAACCAGACTTCCACAGAATGAAAAGAAAATACAACTAAACTAATAGCTACAGGAACTTACTTATAACTATTTGCTGCTTTTGTAAAAAAAATAGAAAACACAGCATTTGGGTAAGCAGTACGTGTGTATCTATGAGTTTATTGCAAAGTTAAGCCCTAGTTTCCAAACTTAATATCTTCCAAGGAAAGAACACACAAATGGAAGAAAAATAGTCCAAACGACTCTATGGCCTTAATCTTTATATTATTATCCTAGAAACATTAAGCATGTAAAGGCTGCTCTGTCCAGTGAGCCAAGGGATGGCATCAACAAGAGCTATTTCCTCCTTTCTTCAAATTTAACAGTCTTATGAATGGAGAGAAGAAAGGGCAAAAGTGAGAAGTTCAGTGGTAGATACTCCAGAAAGGCCTCCATTACCTTCTCCTGCAGCAGGTAAAGACTCGTCAAGTCAGACAAAAAATAAAGGGCTGAGTTGCAAGTAGATAGAGCAGAGGTAATTCACAGAGGAAATGAGTGCACAGGTCAGAGGAAGGAGGACACAAAGTCTGGACATAGGAAAAGTGCTCTATGGAAGCACAGAGAGTAAAGGAGTTTAGTAGAAGAGGGTCTCAAAGTAAAGCAGCAGGGCTCTCCTAAATTCTTCTGGAAACTAAATTAGCTAAAGGCTGATTGACACGTACCTGGAGAACAGTACATAAGAAACAAACCACTGTAATTAGGAGATGTAGCAAGTGTATCTGGCCATGGTATGGAGCATCACAAAACATACCACAATACTTTCTTTCATAGAATTTTATGCTGATGGTTGTTGAAAAGTGGTAGAAATGGTCCCAAAAGAGAAAGCAAACTATAAGAAGCATTTTGGAATGTTAGTGTCTAACCATTTTACAGCATCACGGCATATTCTGGTATTTAACTCCAGCAGCATTTCACATCTTAATGCTGGGATGAAGTTTTCCTGGAAAGGTTTTAATACATCTGTGCTCAGCTTTCTGTTCAAACACATGGTTAACAATCTATAAAAAGAAGTAAATCAGTAAATCTCTTCAAAGAGCTGCTTCTGCTAGCTACCTATTCAGAATAATAAAACTACACAAAACCTCCCTGTTTTTATTTTCACACAAAGACATTTTAAGTTATAATGAAGCCTTTAAATCTAGATTTAAGATTTGTCACTGAAGAAGTTTCTTCTACTTTGAGAGTTTACTTTTGAGCATTAAATGAACATCCTCATCCCATAGCTCATATCCAGCCTATTAATTAGTTAAGAATAGCAAATATACACAGAATGCACACTCGTGCAATTGTACTTACTCGCCATGAATCATTTTTTGCTTCAGTGCAACTAACGCAGCTACATATTCATTTATATTCTGTAAGGAAGAGTATCAAGGTGGTCAACATGTTTCACCCAAAATGGTACCAAGCACTGTAAATCGCTCCTAATCTGACTAGGAATATTTTACATTGTAAAATAATCTGCCTTTTTAAATTCTATCTTATAAAACAGCCTGCTTATTTACTGAATAAATATTTGTGTTAAGGTATGCATACAAATATGTGTTAAGAACACAGATTCCACATGACAACGTGTATGCTCAGGACAGGGAAAAAGTTCTCTCAGCTTTGCCAGTAGAGGAGAATACGTACAAAATTCATCATAATTGCTCTCTCAAAATCAAATTAGACTTAGGAAAGATGTTTTGAATAAACACTGCCCAGCTCTTTTCAGGCTACAGGTAGCCCATGTATATATAATTAACGTATGTTCTGGGTGCTCCTGATGATCTTTCCCACTCTACCAGCTCTCGTTTAGAGGGCAAACAAAGCTTGTTCCAAGCGTTATACCGCGTAACGTTCTCGCAAAGGCAAGCATCTTTCTTCCACTGCATCGAAGCAACCTCAAAGGGATACTACAAACTCATCGGTCTCTAGCCAAACCGCTGTTTAATTGCACCGACGGGAGACACTTTTCTACCAAACGCCGCATTTCGCGCACATAAGGCTCGGCTCTGCTGCTACCTGCCCAGACCCCGCACGCCACATTCACCGTCCGAGCTCACGTCGCACCGGGAGGAGGGACGCGGAATCCAGCGTTCCTCACCCCACAACGGCCCGGCGCGCTCAAACCGCTCAAAAACCCCGCCCGGGCACTCCGGCACGACGCGGCCACCGCTACCTGCTGGAGAACGGCGCAGTTCTTGCAGGGCACGGCGGCAGCGGTCCCCGCGGGCGGCGGCTGCGTCTCCCCAGGCATCATAGTCCCCGCCGCGCCCCGCGCACGCCTCCTGCGCGCAGCTCCGCCGGCGACGCGGGCACGGCGTCACACAGCGCGCCGCCGGCACAGACAGGACCCGAGCGTGGCTGCGCCGCTGCCTGACTGCTGGCGGCGGAAAGACCCAGCGCGCCGTGCTGCGAACGGGGCGTGCGGCTCGGCGCCGACTGAGGAACGGTGCTGTTTTGCTTTGTCGATACGCCCGTTCCTGCGCGGCGCCGCCGCCGTTCGGGTGCGAGTGCAGGCGCCGCTGTGGAGAGGCTGTTTGGGCTCGAAGGAGGAGCTGAATGGCTGGGGGTGTCGTGCGTTGTAGGCTTGCGTGGAAGCTGCGCCCCGCTTACGGACCCCGGTGTAGTGGGAAAGTGGAAAGAATGATTCAAACGCTTAAAGCGCTGCTGAGCAAAATATACGTCTATGCACTGGACTCGGGCTTTACCTTTTGTCTTGTTGAGATCTGGAGTCTAGCCTCGAGGCAGGCAGCACGTCAGTCCATATGAATTGATGTACAGGCAGCCACATCAGACTACTGGATCACCAGTGTTGGAAATATCCAATAATTTATCAGGACGGTATCTCTGATAAAGCAGATTTTATTCGCAATTGCAATGTTGGGCCTCCTGCAAGCAGGAGAGCACGCAGAAAACAGCGTTCCATCTTTTATGCCCTATTGCCTAATGCTTATCTCTTTCTCCTCTGGTTCCTCGTTGGCTGAGTACTTCAGGATCACAATCTTCCCGACACTCAAGTAAACATACAGATGCTGGATAAACATAAATTGTTGCTAGCTAAGCATATATCGCTAATTAGTTAAGTTCTCACATCTGCTCATTCAACACTTGGTCGTTGTTTCTGGACATCTGCTTGTCTTGCATAGAGAAGGAGGATGGGGAGTATCTTGATGCCTGCCTGTTGCATCCCAGCCTACCCACAGAGCAAGGCAAGCCTCATGTAGAGGCCCTGGCTTCTTTGATGTTTCTTAAGTCTTTTTTTCTGTTGCTGAGGGTCTCTTATCCAAACAGAACAGCCCTACAGTATGCTTTCTAGTCCATAATACTATACGTATACTATTTGGAACATGTAAAAACTATTGCAGTTTTGCAAGCAAGAATAATCACACAATTCAGCAACTATATAGAGAAGAGAGAGGGAGAGAGAAAAAAAAGATTTCACCACAACTTGGATCCAGCGTTGTCTTGAATTGAGGAGCTTTATTGGGTGGCGGATCATGAAAGGTAAATGTGTGCTCACTTGTATATAGTTCAGTTTGTCCAGGAACATCCTTGGGATGGGAACTCCCTTGTGTGTGTGCAGTTAGCTGATTCCAGAAGATTCAGTGATCCCTCCTCAGTGAGCTGCTCAAACCAATAGCTTTCAACCAGTAGAATTACTCAAACTGATGTTTTTACTCAGCTGATGTTTTCAGTCATAAGAGGAAACAGATGCTGTCCATGACAGAAAGTAGATGCTGTCTGCAAGAGGAAGCAGAGAAAAGCTGGTTGCTGCTCTGCGTCTGCAGGTCTCCATCCATCCTTCTGGCTCTTCTTTTTCAGACTTTTCTGCTCATGTTGTTTGAATCAGCACAGGCCAAGTTCCTCATTAGTCTCAGACACCACCTTCTGGTTCAAACAACAAATAGAAGACATAAGGGTCTAAAGTTCATCTTCAAGAGTAGTGGTATGAACATAACAGAAGAAATAAAGATAGAAGAGACAGAAGAAAGAAGCAAAGTGATCATATATCTAAAAAGTTATGCTAATCATCAAAAATACAAATCCAATTTACAAGGTTAGTCCATATTGTGCCAGCCGTTTTCCATACCTGATAAGTCCCAAGGACTGTAAAAAGGTGGTAAACCAGCATCTAGGTTAGAGTCCCTTGAACCAGTCTTTTGGTTAGAGTGATTGGGACAGTTCAGAAGTCTGACAGTTTTTTTCATCTTAGCACGAGCTTCTTCTACGGAGGTGGTGGCATTATGAACAGTAATACAACATTACTCCTGGATTAAGCTTAACATGCTGCATACTCATTTTCCATTCTGCACCTGTGTCCAGCATTACTCCATTCCAGATGCAGCACATAGCACTCTTCTTCTTCTGAAAAAGTTCTTCTTCTGAAGAACTTTTCTGTTTGTCCATGTTTAGATCTTCCTAGTCCAGGCATTAGATGGACCAACCCATGGTGCAGCCTTGCTCGACCTGGTGCTCGCTAATGCAGAGGAGAGCATTAGGGATGTTAAGACTGGAGGCAGCCTAGGCTGTAGTGACCATGCCTTGGTGGAGTTTGTGATCTTGAAGAACTCTGGCAAAAAGCGGAGTTAGGACCCTGTGCATCAGGAAAGCAAACTTTTGGCTTCTCAAGGAATTGCTGGATGGGATCACCTGGAAAACTGACATTAAGGACACGGGTACAGAGCTGGCAGCTCTTTAAGGACACCCTTCTGAGAGCGCAACAGCTCTCTATCCCCCAGCAGAAGAAGTCGAGCAGGGGAGGCAGGCGATCAGCATGGCTGTGCAAGGATCTGCAGCTTAAACTGAGGGAAAAGAGGGAAATGTACAGGAAATGGAAGCAGGGTTGTGTATCCTGGGAGGAATACAGGACTGCTGTCCGCGGGATCAGGAAAGCCAAAGCACAGATGGAGCTGAACTTGGGAAGGAATGTGAAAGATAACAAGAAAGGGGTTCTACAGGTACATAGGCAGGAAGAGACTGGCCAAGAGGAGTGTTCCCCTCTTATAAAAGGTAATGGAGAGCTGGCTTCCTCAGAACAGAAAACGCTGATGTACTCAATGAGTGCTTTGCCTCAGTCTTCACGGGTGGTCAGGCTTCCTGAGTCTGCCAGTACCTGAACCTCTAGGTGAGGGTGCGGGGAGCAGATTCCATCCCACTGTAACAGTGGAACATGTCTGAAACCTCCTCACACAATTGAATGTATTTAAGCCCATGGGGCCAGATAATATCCATTCTAGGGTTCTGAGAGAGATGGCTGATGTGATTGCTGAGCCACTCTCCATCATATTTGAAAAATTGTGTCTGTCAGGTGAAGTCCCTGGTGACTGGAAAATAGGAAATATTACTCCCATTTTTAAGAAAGGGAGAAAGGAAGACCTGGGGAACTACAGGCCAGTGAGCCTCGCCTCTGTACCTGGGAAGATCTTGGAGCAGATCCTCCTAGAAGCTACGTTAAGGCACATACGAAACAAGGAGGTGGTCTGAGACAGCCAGCATCACTTCACCAGGGGCAGATCTTGCCTGACCAATCTGGTGGCCTTCTGTGATGGAGTGATGGCTTCGGTGGACAAGGGAAGGGTGATGGATGTATCTTCCTGGACTTCTGCAAAGCCTTTGACATGATCCCACCACATCCTTCTCTCTCGATAGGAGAGGTGTGGATTTGAAGGATGGACAGTTGGATGGATTAGGAACTGGCTGGCTGGATGCAGCCAAAGGGCTGTGATCAATGGTTCTGTGTCAGGGTGGAGGCTGGTCACCAGCGGTGTCCCTCAGGGGTCGGTCTTGGGACTGGTGCTCTTCAACATCTTCATCAGTGACAGACGATGGCATCGAGTGCAGCCTCAGCAAGTCTGCAGATGGCACCAAGCTGAGCGGTGCAGTCGATGCATTGGAGGGAAAGGAAGCATCCAGAGGGACCTGGGCAGGCTGGAGAAGTGGAAATGAAAACCTAATGAGGTTCAACAGGGCCAAGTGCAAGGTGCTGCACTTGTGCTGGGGCAACCCCAGGTACTGATACAGACTGGGGGCAGATCTCCTTGAGAGCAGCCCTGCGCAGAAGGACTTGGGGTCCTGGTGGGCGAGAAGCTGGCCATGAGGCAGCAGTGTGCGCCTGCAGCCCGGAAGGCCAGCTGTGTTCTGGGCTGCATGAAAAAGGGGCGGCCAGCAGGGAGAGGGAGGTGATCGTCCCCCTCTGCTCGGCTCTTGTAAGGCCCCATCTGCAGTGCTGCGTCCAGGCCTGGGGCCCCAGCACAGGAAGGACGTGGAGCTCTGGGAGCGGGTCCAGAGGAGGCACTGAGATGAGCAGAGGGCTGGAGCAGCTCTACTGTAAGGAAAGGATGAGGGAACTGGGGAATGGCTGTTTGTGAGGGTGGACAGTGATAGGACAAGGGGAATGGTTTTAAACTGAGACAGGGGAGGTTTAGGTTGGATATTAGGAGGAAGTTTTTCCCCCAGAGGTGGTGAGGCACTGGCACAGGTTGCCCAAGGGGCTGTGGATGCCCCATCCCTGCAGGCATTCAAGGCCAGGCTGGATGTGGCTCTGGGCAGCCTGGTCTGCTGGCTGGCGACCCGCACACAGCAGGGGTTGCAACTGTGTGAGCATGGAGCTCCTTTGCAACCCAGGCCGTTCTATGATTCTATGATCTTCCGAAGATGAATAGTGATTCTATTACTAATATCATGTGATATTAGCATACTAACGTAACACTCCACCAGTATACTTTCATTCAGTTTCTTATTTGTTTCAATCACCAAGGCCCTCATATTTGTTCAGACCAAGTGCAGTACAAACTTGACATTTTACTTTATCCAGTCCTGCCTAGACAACTATACTGCAAACAATCCTTTATTTGACATCAACTGTCAGAAGATGATAGGCTCAGTCCTTAGTTTTTTTCCTCCCTTTGTGCTGCTCTACAAGTTACAGGTCTCTGTTACATCCTCACTTACATACACTTTCTTTTTCAGAAGACTTGTTTATGTAAGTCATTTGCTGTACAGAAGCCATTGCATTCTTTTAATTCTCTTTTTCTTGCCCTTCCTTGAATATTTCCCCATTTTTCTTTTGAGATGTAGGGTGAAACCGCGTTTGTGCACTATTTATCAATTTATAGACTGTCTTGATGTTTTCTCTGTTTCATCTTTTGCTCCTTTCTTACAAGTGCTTTCTTTCACACTACAGAGATGATATTTTTTCACAGAGAAAGAAGATATATTTCACAAAGAAGATATTTGCATGCAACTATCTGTAATAACTGTTGCAGTAACTGAGGGCTGTTCTATTTTAAATGTGAAGCTAGGACTGTTTCTTCCCATGTGCACTCCTTTACATTTAGCTTTCCTGGATTCTATCTTCCATTTTTTGCCCAAGACTTTTCTGATTGTAGTTCTCCTAAGCCTGCCTACACCTCTCTAAAAAGCATCATACCACGAACATACTTTGACACTGCTTCCAGATCCTTGATAAATGTGTTGCACAATTAGGTTCCAGAATTATCCATATGTCTTTACTCTTGAATCCCTTTTATCATGAAAATGGACTATGGACTCCTACTTTCTTATTTCCTGCCTTTTAACCAGTTATTTACCTCTGCAATTACTTGTTCCCTGGCAGTGTAATTTTTAAGAGCTTTTAATTAATGACCTTTTGAAATACCTTCTGAAAATCCATGTTCAATTTTCTCTCTCTTGGCCACAAACTTATTGACTCCTACAAATTTCAGTAGAATTGTAAGGCAATTCTTCCTCTAAGGAAAGCCATTTTGACTCATCCCCATTATGCATATGCTTGCTAATTCTAATCTATCCTACAGTTTTTGTTAAATTCCCTGCCATAGACATCGGACCTGTAGTTTTCCAGATTTTCTTATGGCATCCATTTAAAAAATTGACATTACAGTTAACACATCCCATTCTCCTGCTACCAAAGCAGTTTTCTGTACATGAAAGTTTGTAGTTTGGCCCGGAATCATTTTAGAATTTTTCAGTGTACAAAATCTGGTCCCTATTACTTGCTACTATTCATTTTGCTTATATGTTCAGTAACCTCTCTTACTGATCCTTCCAAGGCTGAACCCCTGGTGAGTCTCACCATAAATAAGGGTCTGTCTTTGGAATTTCATCTAGGCTCTGCTGTAGTGAAAACAGATGTAAGTAATTCCTTTAGATTTCACATTACTTTTCTCAGTATGCTCCTTTAAATTTCTTTCAATTTTCCTGGTGGTACAGACTATCTGGTAAGCTTCCAGAGCCTGAAGTGTTCTACAAGGGATTTATTATTTGATTGCAGGCCTTATGCAATTGTTCCTCAAACCCTTGTGGCCTGTCTCATGGCGTGGTTTACATTTCATCTGTCAGAAGTTAGGATTCTATTTTCAATTTTAGACCCAAATTTATCTTTTGGAGGAACGCTTCTGAAAAGAAGTCCCTAGCAACAGTCTCCCTTGTCTGTGCTGCTTAACCACCACAGGTTCCTTTTCCCCTGATAAACATTTGCTCACTCTCCAAAATGGTATCCTTATAGTCTCCCTGTAGACCTCAAGCACAGTTATTTTAGCTGCCCCTCTATTTTTAAGCAATTTCTTCATTTTTAGGTTGTTTTTTTGTTATTGTTGTTTTTTTATTTTTAATGAATACACGTATTGGTGGACTTTTTTTGGCTGTCTGTAAGGGTCTTATGTAATGAATGAAAAGTCAATAGAAACAGAACATCTCTGTGCTGCAGCTGACTGTGTGCACAGCACCTTAGAACTCTTCATTTGCCTTCTGGAAGGATACATGTTACTGAATCATACTATTGCTTCTTGCCCATGGAGATTATAACCTCAAAAGCATTTGGAAACACCTGAGAAGAGCTTCTTTAAAGTGTAGGGACTCCAGTAAATCCTTTGCACAAGAGGATATTCGATTTATGCAGGAGACTCATAATGCAGCCGAGTGGCTAGAGCCTATTTCATCTTCCTCACCAAAATCTCTGCTTCTTGGTAATCTTGTTCTAATCATGTCAAGGGATTCCCTTCCTTCTTCTTCCTCATCTCTACATCATTTCCCCCTCACCCCCTGATGGGAATGCTATTCACCAGCACCCCTGAAACATATAGATCTGTGGCTGTTGGGGTCTCTAGGGCATCTTGTATTCCCTTACCATCCTGGAGGTTTGTCTTTATGGGTTCAACACTAACTTATATATCAACTGTTAGGTCTTGAGACTCCTCAAAGGGTGACTTTCCCTCCTCTCCTGAGCTGCTTTAAAATTCATGCTCTCCCCTTTTGTATTTGTGGGTTACCTATGTTACAGGTATGCTTGTGCCTAAATTGTCTGATCTTCACCATCTGGCTTGATTTCTGGTTTGAGCTGCCCTCTTGCTACAGGTTTGCTGGAAATATGGATTGTTGCCTGAACTATAATTGAATATGAGCTGTTATTGAAATTATTCTGCTCTTCTTGCTTCTGTATTGTGGAATTTGCTGACTTCTCAGCTCTCAGCTCCACAATCACAGAATGGGTTGGAAGGAACCTTAAAGAACATCTAGTTCCAACCCCACTGCCATGAGCAGGGTTGCCACCCACCAGGTCCAAATTCCTGTATGTTACATATGGAGCAATGTGTCCCTGCTGCTTCCTGACAGTCATACAGGTCAGATGGCCAAAAGCAGCTGCTGGGAGAAGATATGAGTAATAAATGGCACAGGGAAGGAGAGAGAAATATTAAAGGAGGATGAAGTAGAAGAACATATATATATATGTTTCAACCAGTCAAGTAAGTTTTGATGGGAAGATCCTTGCTCCTATCCTTGCATCGAAAATGAGAAAAGATTAGGAAAAGATAAAGAGATGATTGTGGCCAAGAAAGAAAAGAATTAAATCTCATGTCTGTACAGAAATGCTGGACAATTATGTCAGGCTATCATGAGTGAATGGAATTTGCCCAGTGCAAAATTAAGGAAAACAACAACACAGAACTCTTTAGACAAAAAGGTGTAACCAAGGAAAATATGTGTTGACCTAGAAACTGACATTTTTGCAGCAGCACACATAGATGCAAATTATTATAGTGCTATCCATACCACAACTGTGCTTTTTGATGGTAGCAAAGAGTGTGAATAGTGAAGTGGTAGTGCTGTAGTATGCATGTAAAGTGGTATTAAAAAAAAAAAATAGTAGTTCTGTGAATGTTATGGGCATGTCTCTATAGCAGTGAGAGAGAAGAACATGAGTCAGAGGTCTACCTCAAGTTTCTAGTCAGCAGTAGGAAAACCATGCATCACCTCTAAAAGGATGCATTAACTCTGCTGCTGCCACATGCTCTTCTTTGCCAGCTTAGATGAGAAAAATACTTACATAAAGCAAAACACTTCATATTGTATTCATAATCCAAGCATGTAGTAGCATCTTCATAAGGCTGTTGCTGTAGTGGCTTGTGTGCTTCCTTTGCAGCAGTGGCAGGAATCTGGGCTGCATACCAGTGACTAGAATTTCTGCAAAAGAAGCCCACACTTTCTTTAAGAGCTTTGGAGCCATGAACTTTGATGACTAGGACGGGAAGAACTATTCTGCAGATGGAACTTTGATCAGAGAATTTTGTGATAAGGGTGCAGAGAATGGAATACAGACTGTGCCAGTAGTGTTCCTCAGAAGCGCCGTTTTTCTGAGCTGCAGTTGCTATGGTACTCTGAAGTTACTCGCTATCTGAAAAGATCGGCAGCTCTGTAAGGACTCTGTAGCTAGCTCCATTGCAGTGGGACAAGTATAGAACTGCTCTGCAGACATACTGTAACCATGACACTGTAAACCTCTGCAGGGAGGTGTGAATCATACCACGGTTCTGTTCACATTGAACGCTGCAGTATGACAAAGCATGTAGTTCTACGGAGCAATTGTAGCTGGAGCACTACCAGGTTTGTCTGCAGCACAGACTGTATTATGGAAATCCACGTGTGGGCTCTCCAACAGAAGCTGAAGTTCCAGTACTCATTCAGGACCAGAAGCACATGCCACTACCACCTCCCTGCAGTAGTCAGGCAGGATGCAATAGACAGCCAGCTGCTACATTCCTACTTTACACTCTCCAGAAAAAACACCTCTTTTGCGCACCGAGCCTAAAGCATAGGACCATTCTGTTCTTTCCCTTCTGCTTGACCAATAGGCTCTGAAATGCGGCCGGTACAGGGAGGAGACACAGCTGTGAAGCACATTGCCGAGCAAGCAGCCGACTTAACTGCTAGCGCTAGCATTGCTTTGTCGCTGTTACGGTTTCTTTCTTGCTCCCTGTCAGTCTCAAAACTCGGGACTTCCCGTTCATTACGGCGCCGGCAGACAAGGCCCGCTTCGCCCTGCGCACTCCAGCGAGCGCCCGGCCCCGCCCTCGAACTCTCTCCCCGGCCCGCCCTTACCCCTCGCACCGCCCCTCGTGCCCGCCCGTTCAGTGCGGCTGCGCGCTCAGCTCCGCTCAGCCGAGGGGGAGTTGGCGGTGACGGGGCGCGTGCGCGGCCGCCAGGAAGCTGGACCTTGGGGGGGGGGCGGGAGCGGGAGGAAAGCGTTGGCATGGCGGAGGCGCGGCCCAATACAGGTAAGTGTGATTATTGCGTTCGGGGGGGGGGGGGGGGTCGGGGAAGGGGCCGGCGGGCTGAGCGGGACGCGGGGAGGAGGAGCACGCGTCTCTCCGCGGCAGCGTTGGCGGGCGGAGGGCAGAGCTGCGGGCTTGGCAGCCGAACGCCGGCTGTCGGGTTGTCCGGGCGGAGCAGCACCTGTTGTTACGCGCCGCCCGCACCGCACCGCAGCCTTGCGCAGCCTGCCGTACTGAAGGTGGCTGCGCTGTGCGTGTTCCGCAGGATGCTCTGGGAAAACTTTGGCCGGGAGCAACCGTGCGAGTTTCAAGTATGTGACGAGTAAACAGGACTCCAAAAAAGAAAAGAAAAAAGCCATTTGATTTCTGGAAAACTTACTGCTTCTCAGGCCGCCATTATCCCCCCGTTGCTCCCCGTGCTTGCCGTGCTCTGCAGAGGGCGGTGCTACTGACCTGCTCCTGTTGCACGGCCATTCGTAGCACTGTGGTGTGCAGGGTGTTTCCGTGTGTAGTCTTGCACGGATTCAAGAGATGTCTGAGGTGCTACTGGTGAGTATTCCTGTCCCCTCCAGTGCCCTGCGGGTGACAAAGCAGAGCGAGTGCCACGTGAAGAGGGGTTAAGGAACCCAACCTGGGATGGAATTGAATGCCACAAGAAGAAGAAATTGTTTTTTCATTTGTTTGTGTCCAGCGCTGGTTTTTAAGGTGCAGGATTAGATTAACTTTTTGTTTTTACTGGACGTGGTTGCTGTGGAGGAGGAGCCACCCTTCAAGATGCCTATTCCAGCCTAGCGTTTAATGACCTGTGGTGTCTTATGGGCGCTTAGTAGAAGAATTCTTATGAAATTGTGTCTTGGGTATGTAAATAGAAATAATGCATGCGTGGAGACGTTCATGCTACTTACTGCTTTCATCACATCTTCTGTTTCTCTTGTGATTTGGATAGACTTTTTGGTTAATCAATATCACTTTGGGCTCACCCGATGAGCTGCCTACCTCCTCTCAGCGTTAATGAGGTTGTTAAGTTTCTGTCAGGTGCTGAGTGCTGGACTCGAATGGCTGGGGATGAAGAAGAAAATACAAGTCTCTGCTTTTGCAGCACTCTGAAGTTAATTCAGATTAAGCATATCAATAGTTTATATTTCAGATACTATCTTCAGTCTTTTCTGTTCTTAGCACCCGGGCTGTGAAGAGGGAAAGGTAATCTGTGTTCATTTTTGATGTTTTGAAGATGGACCTTCATGAGGGAAGTGGGATAGTCCATGATTTGGAGTGTAGAGCCGATAGATTCAGGAAAGGGAAGGTAGTGCAGGCAGCTGTTTGCTTGTCTGTTCATCTTCCATGCTACCAGACTGAGGCAGCTCTCACTGTCAAATCCTTTATGCAGTGCTGCTTATGCATTTGGAATAAAGAGCCCTTAATAGGTGCATGAAGCTAAATAGCATTGCTTTTTAAAAAAGTTAAATTAATTTGGGCAATACAGTGTTTATGCTTTAAAATATGTAAGCTGACATGGGTATTGTCAGATAGCATTAAGTTCTGGAGTTTTTTCCATTTTAGAGTAATACCGTGTTATCAAGCCCGACTCTTTAGGTATTTTTGTTTGTGCTTACGTGGATTAGAATGCAAACTAGCTTTTGCCCTGGATTGAGTGTATGATTTTAAGACCTGAAATGTGAAAAATATTTTCAGTTACAAATTATATCACAGAAGCAGTTGAGGTCAAAGAACAGCTATTTGGGGCCTGTTTAGATGTGTAACCTGTATAAGACATTTTGCTAATAGTAAATGGTTATTGAGACCCAGAGGGTAAGAAGAGTGTAAGAAACAAAGCAGTTGTGTGGTGATTATTTAGATTTATATACCTTTCCTTTGGGGGGTTGGACTCGACAATCTCTGGAGGTCCCTTCCAGCCCCTACAATTCTGTTATTCTGATTCTAGTTTCAAGCCTTGTGCACCTAGAAGGCATATTCCAAATGAGAGGTTATATTATTTAATAGTCATTACAGATTTCTTCCCCATGAGTAGCTGTAGTTGCTTTTGGTTGTAGCTTAGTGCTTTTGCTTTCACAATGACAACTAGTTTTGTTTTCTCATACAGCATGGTATTAAAATGAAGGTATCAGGAGGTGCTATAAAGTGCTGAGCATACAGTAGTGGTGAACAGGAAGTGAAAGCTCATCACGCATTTCATCCTTAGGAATAATTTATTCTGTAGTAGATACTCTTAGACTTGTGAGGTTTCATTTCTTATCCCAACTTAATATTTCTCCCATGTAGTCTTCAAATGGACTGGCCAAAACTTCACGTTTCATTTAAAATGTGGATGCACTGAATTTGGACAAATACATAAAATGACAAAAACACAGCAACATGCACAAATACACTTTGGGTACCAACTGGCTGTCAGGCAGCTCGACAGAGAGGAATCTTGGGGTCCTTGGTAGACAATAAGCTGAATATGAGCCAGAAATGAAAACGTGCTGCAAAGATGACCAACAGTAACCTAAACTGCCTTAGAAAGAATGTTGCCAGCAGGTCAAGGGAGATGATCCTTTCTCTACTCAGTGCTGATGAGGCAGTGTCTGGAATGCTGTATCCAGCTGTGTGCTCCCAGTACAAGGAAGATGGGGCTTATTGGAGACTCACATCCAGCACAGGGCCATGGAGCTGAAGGCATACGAACACTTTCATAAGAAGACGGTCTGACAGAGCTGGGACTGTTCAGTCTGGAGGAGAGAAGGCTTGCACAGAGGGAGTAAAGAATAGGGATTCAAATTCTTCTGAGTGTTACTGAGTGAAACGGTGAGAAGTAAGAGGTACAAATTGGCATGAAATTTTGTCTGAACACAAGAACACTTTTCACTGTGTAGGTTGTCAAACCTTAGAAGAGGTTGTAGAGAGGCTGCGAAATATTTATCCTTGGAGATACTTGAATCATGATTGAACAGTTTGAAAGGAGTGTTTGGGTTGTCGATGGTCTGGAGAATTCCTTTCCAACCTCAACCATTCAGTAATTCTGTGATAATGGTATTTTGTATGTTTTTCTTTTTTAAATTTCTGGTAAGAATTGTGGGAAGGGAGCATATCTCTTTATTAAGTCATAGAATGGCCTGGGTGGCAAAGGAGCTCCATGCTCACCCAGCTCCAACCCCCTGCTGTGTGCAGGTCACCAACCAGCAGCCCAGGCTGCCCAGAGCCACATCCAGCCTGGCCTTGAATGCCTGCAGGGATGGGGCATCCACAGCCTCCTTGGGCAACCTGTTCCAGTGCCTCACCACCCTCTGGGGGAAAAACTTCCTCCTAATATCCAACCTAAACCTCCCCTGTCTCAGTTTAAACCATTCCCCTTGTCCTATCACCATCCACCCTCACAAACAGCCATTCCCCATCCTGTTTCTACGCTCCCACCAAGCACTGGAAGGCCACCATGAGGTCTCCCACAGCCTTCTCTTCTCCAAGCTCAACAAGCCCAGTTCCCTCAGCCTTTCCTCACACAGAGCTGCTCCAGCCCTCTGCTCATCTTAGTGGCCCTCCCATGGACTTGTTCCAAGAGCTCTGCATCTTTCTTGTGCTGGGGCCCCCAGGCCTGGACACAATGCTGCAGATGGGGCCTCACAAGAGCCGAGCAGAGGGGGACGATCACCTCCCTCTCCCTGCTGGCCATCTATCACGATTGGAATGAACAGTGAGTTTTGGACAGGCAGATCATTTTGCATGAAAATAGATTGCACTTCTTGATTCTTCAAGCCTGAAACAATCTGAGTGCTATTAAAGAAGAAATCCAACCTTCTGTCAATTTGCACATTCTCTGTAATTATAACATGCAGTAGGTGAATACTGTTACATAAAATGTCCAGAGAAGACAGAAAATATTAAGGTGGTTGTTCTGGGGGTGTTAAACCTTTTCCTCACAAACTGGGAAGCCTCAGAATTTCTATAATGTGCTATTCGTGGTGGCTTTTTTTTTGTTGTTGTTGTTTCTTTTCCTGCTACAGTGTAACACAGGTGCTGTAAAATCTGCATGGAGTGTTGTCTTTATAGAGTGTGCATTGAATTCAGCTGATCAGACCATTTTGTATCTGGATACGTGGAGATCTGACACGAGTAAATTAATGTATGTACACTCTGTACTGTCACTGTCTCCAGAAATAATTATTCTTTCAGAATTCTAATTGTTTTCATTTCTGGACAGGGACGTTCGGTTTACTGGGACTTGTGGAAGTGAGAATATAAGCAGAATTTGAGATGATTAGTGATTGCTCAGTTGTCTGCTAAATTATCTTCAAGGCTGTTTGTTTCCACTTGTAGATAGTTCTGGTACATTTGACTGCAGTTGAGGAAGATGGAGTTCAACCAATACGATAATAAGTGATTATGGAAGAAATATGTTTTGCCCGAAACCTATCCATGTGAGCTCAAAGTTAGTAAGCAGAGTGTTCCAGTTATGTGCTAACATATCTAAGTGTTGGATGGATCTTTGAGAATTTCTACTTCTATCATATTCTGTGTCTTTAGATTTAATTTGGTATTCAGTAACTACATACCAGTCAGCCTCACCTCCATCCCTAGAAAGGTGATGGAACAACTTATCCTTGGCACTGTCTCTAGGCATATCAAGGATAAGAGGGTTCCTAGGGACAGTCGGCATGGCTTCACCAAGGGGAAATCATGCTTAACTGACCTGATAACCTTTTATGAAGAAATAACCAGGTGGATAGATGGCGGTAAAGCAGTGGGTGTGGTCTATCTTGACTTTAGTAAAGCATTTGATATTGTCTCCCACAGCGCTCTCACAACTAAACTGAGGTAATGCGGTCTGGATGATTGGGTAGTGAGGTGCATTGTGAACTGGCTGAGGAAAGAAGCCAGAGAGCTGTGGTCAATGGCACGGAGTCTAGTTGGAGGCCTGTGTCGAGTATAGTCCTCCAAGGGTTGGTAGAGGGACTGGTGCAGTGCAGTATATTCATCAGCATATATTCATTGGCTGAAGGAATAGAGTGCACAGTCAGCAAGTTTGCTGATGACACCGAACTGGGAGGAGTTGCTGACATGCCAGAAGGCTGTGCTGCCATCGAGCAAGACCTAGACAGGCTGGTAAGCTGGGCAGGGAGAAACGTTATGTTTCATTACAAGGGCAAGTGTAGAGTTTTGCATCTGGGCAAGAACAAGTCCAGGCACCAGTACAGGCTGGGGACTGACCTGCTGGATGCAGCACAGGGGAAAGGGACCTGGGGGTCCTGTGGACAGCAGGATGACCACGAGCCAGCACTGTGCCCTTGTGGCCAAGAAGGCCAACGGCACCGGGGTGTATTAGAAGGGCTGTGGTTAGTAGGTCCAGAGAGGTCCTGCTCCGCTCTACTGTGCCCTGGTGAGAACGCATCTGGAGTATTGTGTCAGTTCAAGGACAGGGAACTGCTGGAGAGAGCCCAGCACAGAGCCACAAGACGATTAAGGGCGAGGAGCAGCTCCCTTACGAGAGGCTGAGGGAGCTGGGTCTCCAGTTTGGAGGAGAATAAGGGGTGTCCTCGTTAATGTTTGTAAGTAT